TTTTTTTTTATTTCAACAGATTCCCTAAAAATGAAGTGCTGCGTCAGAAGTGGCTTGAAGTCATTGGGACGAAAAATATCAAACCTGGACTTAAAGCGTCACGTATTTGTTCATTACACTTTGCAGTATCATTCTTCAATAAACAATTACAACACATACTGGTATTTTTTTAAACCATTTATTTTTACGAGCACACAAGCGCTTAAGTTCCTGTATCGGATTCAGGCGGAAGAAACACCCCGGTGCCACCATTTTGTGGACTATGCACCGCCCGGAGACCGGTAGAGAGAGATAAGAGATAATAAACGGGGACATTTGGGTATGGTTTTAGCCAGTAATAGTCTGACGTGCCCCCCGCTCTACCCAGAGCGCTAGAAGTCATTCGATGATTTGTACCTTAAAAAAACATCCAAAGTACCAGAAGATTTTTAATGTATAAAACTTGGCTATCGATATCGATACTTTTTGGTTTTGACTACAGTCTTCCCTAGCAATGGCAGCCATATTTAGGCCGCGGTTTCTAGTAGGTATGCACGCGTATTTTGTAGGTATTTCTGGTCCATATTATAGTAGGTCTGTGATACAGACAGAACTAATTTGAGACCTGTCAAATTTACTTAATCACATTTACTGTCATTCACAAAATTTTTATTTCACTTTTCGGTACAGCAGTCAGTTCCAAACAGTTTAGTAAGGTAGTGACCACTGTATTTTATTACTTAAGTAGGTAATTAATATTTTGGATAAAATATATTGTCAACCGCTTCATGCAATCAAAAGTGCCTATCTTAATTTTGCTTTTGTGTTTTATTCCTGTTTGAGTAAGATAAACACCAAAATGCCGAAGAAATTTGCTGGTGAAAACAGCAAAGCTGTAGCTGCACGGCAACGAAAGGAAAATGAAAAGCAAGAGAAGGAACAAAAGATGAAGAAAATGATGGAAGATGCAGAATGGGAGGATAACGACGAGAAACTTAAGAAGAAACAACAGAAGAAGGTACACCTTATTGTAGGAAATAGTAAGAATACTGGAGTTAGATTATGTCTATTTCATATTTATTATTTTTTTATTAAGTATGTTCTTTGTTGAGAATAGAAAAAACTAAATACATAACCAAAAAGTTTATATTTGTATCCATTCTTTTTTTATCAGGAGGACCAGGAGAAGAAGCGTTTAGAACAGCTACAGAAAAAAGCAGAAGCAAAGGCTTTACTAGAGAAAGAGATGCAATCAATAAAGGCAACTCCCAAGGCTGCCCCTCCACCTCCTAAGATTACACGAGCACAGATTGAAAGGATGCAAGAGAAAACCATTAAACCGGAGCCAGTCAAATCAGTGGTAACATGCACATTGACATTTGTTCTTTTTTATGTATGCTGGGCCTACATTTGGCCACTATCTCACCATATCTGCCCATATCCCATAAGCAACCCATTCACTCGGGCCATAAAGATAACCATTGTCTGCATATTCTCAGCATATTGTTAAGTTTGTTCTTTTTTGTTTTATACATTTTATGTATTTGTCTATTCCAGCCATCAAAAGTGGTTGTGGAAGAGCCTCCACTGGAGGAGAATCTCAACAGGATCCATTTGGATGGAGAAGTGGCACAGACTGTTGATGAAGCTATTTCTATACTTGGGTACGTATTACAGACCACCTTCTCCCGTGCAGTGTCACCTGTACTCGGCTCCTCTTGTTTGTAGCATGATGTTTTATAGACTATAGCTTTCCTCGGTACATGATGACTGTGACTCATCACATTGCTCACAGCAATTAGCTCACCCTCCTATTACATGTGTATTGCAACATAGGCGCTCTCAGCTCACAGAATTGCAATTACAAGGTGAGACATCATGTCAATGTTGTTATTTGTAAACATGTCTAATACCTCATCTCATCATATACCGAGGAAACCTATAGGCTATAAAACATCATGCTATAAACAATAGGTACCATTATTGAGAATATTTCTAAAAACCCCCAATTATATTTTGCTCCATGTGAGATTAGAACCCACTCAACTAATGAGGTAGTATTTACTAAGAAATAACAAAGTATAGAAATAAATTGTCGATATGTTTGTCAGTTATGTACTTATCTAACTAAAAGTTGAATAAATATTGATTCTGTTCTAACTAATGGCATTTACAACCATAATTTAAAATGTTTCAGTGAAAAGTCGGATACAGATAGGCATCCTGAAAAACGTCTGAAGGCAGCATACACAGCATTTGAAGAAGCGAACTTGCCAATACTGAAGGCTGAGAATCCAACACTGAGACTGTCACAACTCAAACAGATGCTGAGGAAAGAATGGCTCAAGTCACCACAAAACCCATTGAACATGAAAGTGTAAAGAGCTCTAAAAATATTCATTATAAATGCTGTAATAATATTAATTTGCTCTGTACTAGGTATTCCAGGTGGTGCAAGTACATGATTTTGTTGGCGTAGTAAGATACTAAAATGGGTTCATAAAGTTTCAGTTGTATTCCATATTAATATCTAATTACACATATCCAGTAGGTAAATGATGTTTGCTATACATAAGTTGGTACTTTCATAATTTAGTATAATAATATGTTTATAAATGACACAATTTGTTTATAATAATTACTAACTTATATTCAAAATGCAGTCTTACTCCGTAGGACAAATTGTACTAGAATAACACAGGCATTGTAAATACATAATATAAATTTCTAAATTCATTTTGGTTCATCATTGTATTGGATGGGTATCCCCTTGCGACCCTGTTCAGCCATTTTCACTTCTGTTTCGCCTAGTTTTTGTTCTAGACCCTTCCAGGACCTATCTTGGAGGTTTTGTCCTATATTTTCGAGGGCCCAGTTCTGTTTTTCTGCCAGATCTGTACTACTTCCCTGAAGACTATCAACTTTAGTCTCCCTTATCTTTCCTGTGATGAGACTTATATCTGTGGTCTCCTGGATGTGGTTGATATCACAGTGGTGGCGTCGCCCTGGCAGCAATTGGTCATAATCCGTAATATGCGTTACGAAATAAGGTTCTCTGTTTGAGTTCAAAGCCACTTCCAGTTCGTAAGGGTACACAATAGGTTTATAGAAGTCTCTAGCACTGTACAGATCATTTTCTGGACATGCAATCATCACATATATATCAATCTGTAAAGGTGACACAATCAAAACATTTAAATACACATCATTATGCCTGTAAATCTTCAAAGCAGTGGACAGAGATGCTTTTTTTAATGTAACACTCACTTTTTACTAGTCATAAATTCCATGGAATAAAATAATTGCCTATTTTTACAAATGGAATAAAAAGGTTAAATGGAACTATTATTATAAATAAAAACCAAGGACTTACTTCAGGAAAATTAGCCAATTTTGGAACATTAGGCTTCCCCACAGATACTATGTAGCTTTTCTTGCCATTAACTTTGCAGAGCTGCTTCATTCTGCTGATAATGTCCTTGGTCTGGTCACCAGCCAGCTTACAAACCAGAATGCCCACAACATTGGCATCCTTGCACTTCTCTACTAAAAATCTTCTACGCTTGAACCAAGCAGTTTCTTCTGAACTCTCAATCTGGTTTGTGTTAGGATCCAGCAAATACCATTGCGATGCTTTGGAAATAAAATATGTATTAGGAAAACTTTTCAGCAAATACGCTTACACCTTACATGGTCCGACAGCTTTTACATGTCTAAATGGTTGAGGGTACCTGCAATAGATATGGTGTAGTTGAACAGTGTTTGTCCCCGTGTTCCAAGATGTATACAAATGCAATCCTTCAACACATCCACTGCCAAGTGTTCACCATCTTTGTTCCTAATTATTCTTCCTAAGAACCTGTTTGGTTTCTCTTCTATCTCGATAAAAGATATGTAGCTAAATGGGAAGTATTCAAACCAGTGTTTTGATATTGAATCTGGAAAAAAATGAATTTTGTAAGGAATATAAAAGAAACAATCTGTCTTTGTTTTCTTACAGGATCCTACTGGAGTGAATCAGTTTGCATGATTGCATAAAGATAGTTTTAATATCAAAAAAGAGACTGGTTAGACTCTAGTATCCACTTCGTGTTATTCAATATCTTTCATACCTTTGCAATGTTCAAATCCAGCATCATAAAACAAGCACAGCTTGGCATCTGCATTGAAACTATCTTTCAGTACTTTGATAGTAGCTTCCACATCCACATTGTATTTGGGCAGCACGGTGAACACAGGAATGTTGGTTGTAGAGAAACAACTGTGTCCATAGTGGACTACTGCACTGCCTTGTACATGCATAGCTGCCACAGAGTCTACACAGCAACTGTAATAAAAGGAATGTTAATTTATACATAACAAGAATACAATTTATCATCAATCTGTGGTACATGATACAAATTAGAAAGAATGATGATTATAGTATAGGTCCTCTCTTACCTACCTTGCATAAGATGTGTCACCAAGAATGTACAAGTCAACCTCTACTTTCTTCTTTATTTCTTCATAAATCTTAGTACTCACATTAAGAAGTTCATCGGGAAATTGAAGACAAACCTGTCCAACACGCAAATACCCAGTAATGAATGAAATAAGCAAATATTTGCATAATGTTCAACTATGAAATTGATGTTTACCAACCTTTAAGAAATTATTTTCAGTTATCCATCCGCATGTTTCGTTTATATCAAAACGAGTTATCAAATCATCGAATTCTTTTTCGCACTTGTACACTTCCAACTTCCGTTCTATGCACAATTTTCCATCTGTAGTAAAATTAGCCATTGTTTCGATACAATAATAACACTTCTCACACCTTGTTCTTGCAAGTTTTACATCATCTAAATTATTTCAATTTCAATTCACAGTCAGTGACATCGAAACAGAAATGACATTTATTTTGCCAAGCTGTCACTGTCAAACTGATTGTCACAGAGTACCTAGCAGCAACATTCCATTAGACAATCGACTTTCGTTGGTAGTGGTGAAGGTTTCGCACGTGCTTTTATTGGTACTACGATTGTTGTCAATTTTAGTGATCTTTTTTATAGTGAACTAAATTGAATTTTTTTTAATTTTGTGCTGTGTAATTGTGTGTGTAAGTTTTATTAAGGTATTGTAGTTTTAAGTTTTAATACTTCTTTTTCCTTCCCACCTTTTCCTTACTCTTTAACGATGGACGAGGAGAAGCCCCCTGATCCTCCCGACAAATCGGAATACAGTCCCGTGTTATGTGTCACACTTCCCCACGACAACCAAGATATAGACCTAATGGATTCTGAACCTAATCATAATAGAAAGCGACCTGCAGGCTCTCCTATTATCTCCCGCAACAACCCTCCAAAACTAGCTAAAAGCATAAATGGTAGGCAGTGTTACACGGCTAGAGACAACCCCCCTTATATTATCCATGTTTCGCTCAAGGACTCCCAGACAACTGGTACTACGCTTCACCCAATCAAATTCGGGATGTTCTTGACGAAAAATAATATAAGCAATATAAAAATTGGAGGAGTGAAACGACTAGGTAGAAATAGAGTGTCCGTTGAATTTGTCTCCCACCAAGACGCAAACAGTTTCTTGGTTAACTGTGTTGTAGCTCAGAATTATACCACCTCAATCCCTCAATACAATATAACAAGAATGGGTATTGTAAGAGATGTTCCCATTGAGTGGACAGAGGAAGAAATTATCAGGAACATCAAGGTTCCTGCTGGATGTGGAATTGCTATCAAAGCAAGACGGATGAACCGTAGGGTGTCATCAGAAAATGGTACGGAATGGAAGCCTACCCAAACTGTGGTGCTGACTTTCGATGGGCAAATTCTTCCAAAGAAAGTTTTTTGTTTTTACTCTGCTCTCCCCGTAGAATTGTACACATACCCCACAATACAGTGTTTCAACTGTTGTCGTTTTGGTCACACTCGCACTCTGTGCCGCTCCAAGCCGCGTTGCTTTAGATGTGGTCAGGATCATCCTGGCGATGGATGCTTAGTATCAGAGGAAGTTGCACATTGCATTAATTGCAATGGCAACCACTTTGCTAATAACAGTGCTTGCCCGGAGTTAGGCCGCCAGAAGAGCATTAAGGCTCTGATGGCAGAAAAGGCAATTTCATATGCGGAAGCAAGCCAAGTATTCCCTGCAGTTAAAAAGTCATATGCCGAGGTATCTAAATCCAAATCCACCAATTATATACAAACAACACCAATAAAAAAATCATCCCCACAGAGACTATCTTATAAAAAAACTGTCTTTGTCAAACCTAAATCCCATGCCCCTCTTTCTCCCAGCTACGATAAGAAGGCCCACCAGGCCCTTATCCATGACTACTCATTTTCTCCCTCACAAAACGGTTGCGCTTTCCCTGTGGAATCCGGAACCAATACTCAAAGCTCCAAGAACATATTAGACATAATTTCGAGCATGCTTATGGCAGTGTTATCCAACCCTTCTCAAACCGTACCTGACCACGTCGCCCATAGATTAGCTACCATCTTAGATTATATCTATAACATTCCACCCACTAACAATTCTCCAGTGGAACGTGAGGAGTACTCTTCCCAGGAAGAGTGACTTACTACACCTAATCAACAAATTTAAACCAACTATTTGTGGCATTGCTGAGACATGGCTCCGACCGAATATTAATTTCAGAGTCCCGTGTTTCAGTGTTGTCAGACATGACAGATCTGATGGTTATGGAGGTTGTGCTTTGTTAGTAAGTAACAAAGTACCCTTCTCTCAGATCCCTCTACCCTTCGTTGGCGATGACATAAATGTTGTCGCTGTTAAGGCTGAGGATATAAATATTTTTATGTTTTATATTGCACACCCTCATATTAACCATTTGGCTATAATTAAAAACTTATTAATGTCAGTAAGTGGCCCATTACTTGTAATGGGCGACTTTAACTGCCATCACTTTAGATGGGGTTCAGATACCTGCGACAACATAGGTACCGAGTTAGTAGAAATGTTGGATGAGCTTAACCTATGTGCCATTAATGACGGCAGCCCAACCCGTAGATCTGCATTTGGGCAAAGAAGCAGTTGTGTGGATTTAACCTTCTGCTCAGCTAATATGGCAAGCATGCTGAATTGGAGCTGTTTGAATATGACCTATGGTAGTGATCACTATCCCATAATAATTAAAAACCCTTCTAAATCCACTCCCGATAAATCCCTCCCCCCCCTATTAAAATATCGTTTAGAAAAAGCAGATTGGGACCTGTATTCAAAATTGTTAGACCTTCGCATTTCTTCTCTCCCACTTATTAATACTGAGAATGCTTTGGAGTGTTTTTCAAAGTTTTCGGAGTTGATATCTTCTACAGCTGAAGATTGCTTTCCATTGAAAAACACACCAAAAGGCAAAATCCCGTCCCCTCCTTGGTGGGATAGTGAATGCACTGCCATGATAAGAGCCAGGAATGAGGCCGAAAAGGCATATAACCGAGACATGAACCTGGAAAACCTCTTTAATTTCAAGCGGATGTTGGCTAGGTCAAGGAAACTTTTTAAAAAAAAGAAGAAGCAGGGGTGGCAGAGATTCTGTACGTCCCTGAGCCCGTCCACACCGGTAGCAGCAGTTTGGCAGAGGGTGAAGAGCTTCAGAAACTCCATGAAGCCTCCTTCAATTTCTATCATGCCTGAAGGTCTGAGCCACAATTTCTTCTCCAGTATTGCTCCACTGTATGTTCCCGGTGAGGATGAATTTTGCTTGGGTCATCATGAGGAATCGCTTGACCCACTCGATAGGAATTTCTCCATGGACGAGCTTCAAATGGTTCTAAACCACGTAAAAGACTCCGCACCAGGGATTGATGGGTTCCCCTACTCCTTCTTGGTTAAGGCAGGAGCCAAAACCAAACAGTACTACCTTGACTTGGTCAATTTCTGTCTTGCTTTCGGCTATATTCCTCCTCCCTGGAAGGTTCAGGTTATTATGCCGCTGTTAAAAGCTGGCAAGGATCCTGGTGACCATTCGTCTTACAGACCTATTGCCCTATCGTCCATACTTATAAAAATTTTAGAGCACCTTTTAAAGACCCGGTTGGAATGGTCGATGGAAGGCCGGGGCCTGTTTCCGGCGGCTCAGTTCGGCTTCAGGAAAGGTCTGGGTACG